ATTCCATTTTTTGTTGCATGCACCACTATATCAACTGACTTCAGTTCTTCAATCGGTAGTCGGCATGAGTTTGAAGAAGGGCTTTAAATACGTCCGGGTGGAGATCCCAACCGACAATTTCACCACTTAAAATTGAAGTTAGTGTTGATTGGAAAGGGAGGGCAGAGGAATAACATGAGTTCTTGAAAAAACCGCGCTCTCAAAATAATAGTTCGCGCTCTCAGAAAACAAAATTCGCGACTTTTCAGCGCTTTCCAGAAAATCCGCGCTTTGACGGATCAGAGCGGGAACGTGAAGGGAAAGTGGACGAATTGGGTGACCTGTGAGACCATCAGCACGTTGAGACTCTCAACTTGAGAGGCTGTGAGAATAATGGCGGACGACAAGCTGATCGGAACCCACGAATTCTCGAACAAAGTGATAATCCAGTGCAAATACAAGAGTAAAAAATTGGGTTGTTGCAATAGTATTGAACCCCGTGGTATCCGTTTAAAGTGTGGGTGCTTTGGTGAAGTGAATGATTAAGCTCAATGAGATATTTTTTTTTGCAAACACCCGACTTATAAATGTATGATAAGTTCAATCTAACCCACTTTTTTTCATTTTGTCTGGCCCAGTAAACAGTATAATAAAGGATCAACCTACCCTAACAAAACTATTTGATCTGACATCAACACCAAGGTCTTGGTCTTTTGAGGTAGCCAAAATGATATTGTTTACCCAAGTGTAGTTGTCTTTCTTCCTTTTGTCTATCTTCCATACTCCTAGGTTTGAATTGTTGATGGATCCACCTTCCTAGATTAAATAAGTATCAACGCATGATGATGTTGCCTTGTCATGTGCTTGCCCTTTTTCCTTCTTAATTCACATATAAGCACATTGATTACATCAAAACATAATAGGACAAACACACAAGAGGACGATCAAATGGGGTGATTAGTCACATGAATACCTTCGATATTTACATAAATAATAACGGATTCACTACATTCTACCATCTTGCAAGCTCCGCCGACCAATGTTTGATGTATGACACCAACTTGGGTGTGAGCGGTTGAAGCCACAAATCCATTCAAGTCGCCATCGATTCACTCATTATGTGGTGGGTGGTTTCTATTATTGAGTGCGGGTTGTAAAATAGATAATCTACTTTAGATGTGGGTGGACTGTGTTTGATTCACGATCCACCCAACTTTTTAACTTCAAACCATCGAATCTCTAAACTATAATTTTACCTAAATTAAAATCCAAAATATTACAAAAAAGAAGTTCCTCCAATTTCGATCAAAAAAATATTCCCACATTTCTGGTAATCTTTTCTTCCCAATTTTGAATGAATAACTTCTCAAAGTTATGGTTATTGAGGATAATTGCAAATTCTAATTCACTTTTCGTGGTTGGAAATCTATATTATATGTTCGTTTCCTTCTAAGATTCCTGGTTAACTTTTATTATTTGTATACTAATTTGGCTTATGGAATTGGGGAATGCGCTGGAATCCAGGGAGAGAGGGTTGCTGGTCAAGAAATGGGCCGGAAGTGAATGAGAGTATGAGGAAGGCTATGTGTAATGTGTGACGAGTGACCCAAGTGATAGTGGCGCCGGCAGCCGGCAGGAAAGGTTCTTCCTTTATTGCGGCAAAGAAGTCAATGGCAGCGACGGCGGAACGGCAGTCCGATGAGCCGCCTATCTTAGTTTAGACCAGTGAATTTCGTTCTCCGATTACAGTTAGTGATATATTTTTATGGGTAAGACTAAGATAACACAAATTAGTTTCAATAAAACACGGATTTCACCTTGTAATCAACTTGGGCAGGATAATACCAACGTTAATGTTGAAGCCAACCAATATGAAAATCTTGGGTTACGTTTTAGAAAAATACTAGATTATTAATCAAGAAGAATGGTGATTTGTTTCATCGATCGGTAAGCTTATCATGAGTTCATTTGTAATTTAAAAAGGCTTTTAAGATCATATTCTTGGTGAATCATCAAAAATCACACAATCGTAATTCTACAATTGCAAAGCCATCATTATTAAATTTCCTTTTTTTTTTGGTAAAAAGATTGGCGTATTAACGCCTAGCTCGTATTAATAATAAGACGTTCTTGGGTGATACCCATTACATCATGGCGGAGCCATTGACCAAGAGCATGGTCGCACACATCGAATGAATGTGTGCCAAAATTACAATCATGACCTTTACACGCCAAAAAGTCAGCGGCATGGTTAGCTTCTCTAAAAACATGAGAGACAGTAACCTCCCAATCCAAGTTTAGGAGGATCTTAAACTGTTTGGCAATGTTACCATGGCGATGGTTGCTGTTGGAACTTCCCAAAATAATGCTGATCGCTGTAGAAGAGTCCAACATCAAGTTAACCTTCCTGTATCCCTTCCCCCAAGCAATCGTGAGACCTTCAGCAGCTCCCTTCAGTTCTGCAGCCGTGAGTGAACAATGGCCGAGATTGCAGATGAATGCATCTCTGCAGATTCCCAGGTGGTCTCTAATTAACCCACCCGCAACAGCTTTCCCTGTTGACGTAATCACCGAGCCATCCGTTTGAATTTGCATCCAACCCTCCCTCGGTGGCATCCATCCCACATGTGTAGTGATCCGCTCAGCATGGTTTTATTTCCCTGTCTTCTACTCATTACAATAGGCCTGCCAAACAATGCTAAACCACGAGTTGATTCTGGCGATCAAGCCATCAAACGAGAATGGTTTCCCATCAAGCACCTCCTCGTTCCTCTGCTTCCATGGGTGCCAACAAACAATACCAAAGTCAATCCCTATACCTTCATTCTTGAGATTGGCCATCAACCATTCCTCCAATGGCAGGGTGTGGTTTTTCTCCACAAGCTTGCTCGGCAACCTTTCCCACACAGCCCTCGCTTTCCGGCAGCCTCGCAGGATATGATCTATAGTCTCATCTTCATTTTTGCAGCGAGGACAGAGCTTGTCAGTGGGTGTTTGATTCTGCTTGTACCTTTCCATCTCCAGAGCTCTTTCCAGGGGTGGTTGGTTGAAACCACAGCTTCCTCACTGACTAGCTTGTAGGCTGACTTAAGTCTGAACCTCCCATCCCTTTCAAGCCCCAAGATGGTGATGTCCTCACCCAGATCTGGTTTAGGTGCTTCCATTCCTGCAACCAAAGTAAGGATATCACTAGGCAGGGATTCCTTAAGCTTTTCCCAGTCCCATTCTCCCTCATCAGTTGTCCAATCCGCAACCCTTTGTCCAAATCCTGGGCAGACAGGTCCCTGAGGGCAAAGTCCTCCAACAAGAGGCCACTTTCCAACCATGGTTGGGACCAGAACATTGTTGATCTTCCGTCACGAATGCTCCAGCATGTGGCTTCATTCATTCATTAAATTTCCTTTGTCAATACTGAAAATCATGTAAAAATTCGGAGTGTCGTCTCAAATTTTTAACGAAAAATCGTAATACTGAGGAAGACAGTGGGGGGTATTTCCGTCTTTTACCTATGTTTCAGTACAATATAAAATCGATCACCGCTTGTCACAAACTGAAAACAAGCACCAGTTTCCAGAGCGCACGGACCGTCTTTCTTCTCCCCTGCAGTTGCTCTGCCTCAGTAGTCCTCTCAACAGTTTCGCGCGCCCACACTCCCCTCTCTCTCTCACTCACGGGATCTTCTTCCATGGCGAACCTCGAGCCGGAGAAACGGACCTTACTGAACCACCACAAGGAGAAGCACTTCACCGCTGGCGAGGTCATCCGCGACATCATCATCGGCGTCTCCGACGGCCTCACCGTGCCCTTCGCGCTCGCCGCCGGGTTGTCCGGCGCCAATGCCCCTTCTTCCATCGTCCTCACCGCCGGCCTCGCCGAGGTGGCCGCCGGCGCCATCTCCATGGGACTCGGAGGGTGAGTTATATACTCGATAACGATGTTTTGCTCCACAATTCGATCGCTTCGGAAAATTTTTTGGATTGAATTCCGATCGCTTCGGAAAATTTTTACGGCGAGTCGGATAGGTATTTGGCGGCGAGGAGCGAGGCGGACCATTACTCCAGGGAATTGAGGAGAGAACAGGAAGAGATCGTCGCCGTCCCCGATACAGGTTCTTCAATCCTTTTCCCCCCTGACTGGAATTCTACCTGAACTTGAATTGCTTGCTCTGTTTTTCTATTTTTGTTATTTGATTGCGGTGGGTAAAATGCAGAGGCGGCGGAGGTGGCGGAGATCCTGGCGGAATACGGGATTGAGCCACACGAGTACGCGCCGGTGGTGAGCGCTCTGCGTAAGAGGCCTCAAGCTTGGCTTGATTTCATGATGAAGTAAGTATTCCTCCACACTGAATTCTCTACTTCTTTGCTATCTCAACATTTTCTTTGACTTCAGTTTTTGCCGGCATTTTAGCAAGTTCAATACCGAGTTTCACCTTGGTAGCAGTCAATTTGGCGTAGTATTTGTACAGTGTTTGCGTAAGTTAGATTGATTATCGAGCTAATATGCTCGAAAACCAGCCATTAGCTTAGTTGATTAGAGCGTGGTGGTGCTAATATCAAGCTGATAGCTTGATTCGCTCATAACATTGATTATTATATAGGTTTAGTTCCTGTCCGCACATTGATTGTTGTCGAGCCCTACGTGATGCTGCTACTTGCTAGATGTGTAATGTCTATGTCAAAATGAATCGCGACATCGTTCGACTTACACGTAGGTTCGGTCGAAATTGTCGTGCCTAACGTTGATTGCGCAACGAAACGAACGAGGTCCAGGCAGGCGGCTGCACATATCTTTCATTGTTGCCTTTGTCCCGTTGTTGTAGTGGCAATCAAAGTCGCGGGTGGGCAGATTGTGGTCACTCAGCAACTACCATTTTTTTAATCTCCAAACGAATCTCTCATTTCCCACTCAAGACCTCGATTCCGTATCTCAATTCCCTACCTAATAAAGCTGCTTCCTTTTGGTTCTGCCTCATTGTCCTGTATATCAACTTTTGGCATCTCGTTGATCGTGATGTGCGCGTATATATGCAGGTTTGAGCTGGGACTGGAGAAGCCGGATCCAAGAAGGGCAGTGCAGAGTGCGTTGACGATCGCGATTGCGTACATTATCGGGGGATTGGTGCCTCTCGTTCCTTACATGTTCATCGCGAGGGCTCAGGACGCGGTGATTGCGTCGGTCTTCGTGACGCTTATAGCGTTGCTGCTGTTCGGGTTCGCAAAGGGTCATTTCACTGGGAGCAGGCCGTTCATCAGTGCCTTGCAAACTGCACTTATAGGTGCCATTGCTTCTGCCGCTGCGTTCGGCATTGCTAGAGCTGTCCAAACTTGATGGTGCATGCCTGCTAGCCTCGGCTTTGCAGTTATAACGTCGTGTGTAGCGGACTGGAATCTTGGGTGACAGTGTGTGTTGTTTCTGGATGTTAATATAGTTATAATCACGGTTTTCAATTGTTGCTAAACACGACCATACCATTACTGATGCACCGAATTTGATCATAACATAAGCAAAGCTAGAAGGATCCCCATAACATTATTTCATGAAAGACAGAAGTACCAAAGGGAAAAAAGAGTTGCACACCAGTTTACTCTGGAAATACTCATAATTGTAACACTAATACTTGTTCTAGACCCTCCTAAACCACAAGTAATTACTCAGCATTGATGTAGCAATAGTCCTATACACGAGGAAATAGTTTGTCATAATAAATCAAAACCTCCTCTTTACCTCTTCCCACCAAGCAAAGCAAAAAAGTGCTTGTAGCTGCTGGAAATTAGCAACTTCGTGATTAATCAATCCACCCCCTACCGAATTGAGCCAGATGTGGAAAGACGGAAAGTGGCTGCTGCTACGAAGACATGGATGAGCTTCCAGAGTCGTTATTCCACCAAAAGCTAACTGAAAGACTAGTCGTTAGAGACCGGACATAGTGCCACCATTTCGGTGGGATGTAGAGCATTTCACCTTCCTCCAGAATGCAGTCCAGGAATTCCAGGTCATGCAGCTTTGGGAATTGCTTCTCGTCTATGTTGTCGAGATCAACCTGTCGAATTAGAATGAAAGACCACATTCATTCGTTCATTAGTTCGGACAAGGATGAATGTCGAAATGATGAGAGGATGAATGTCGAAACTCAGACAGGGGATCACCTGGCTGGAGTTGTAGAGCATGGTTTCCTTATGCGGATAGAGTTCATCTGACAGTGAAGCAGAATAAAGCCTGATGTACTTCTTGCCAACAACCTGCAAAGCCAATTTCATGTTTACAAAACAGAAAAAGAACAAAACATTGCAGAAGCTTTACAAACCAAAAAAATCCACTGATTCCACTCATTGCTCAATTAAGAAGAATGCATGCATTAAAACTTAAAAGAAGTTGATCAAAGTAGAAAATCCAAAGCCTCTGCAGTAATACCTGTGCAAGTATGTTATGGTGAGGATCATGGTGCAAAGGGGTAACCGTGCCAGCAGGGCCAAACCAAGCATTAAGAGACCTAAGCTCTCCGCCGCCAGCACAGCAGTAGTCCGGGATGCATATATCATTACGCAGTTGAGTTATCTAACCATTTCAGACACAAATTTAAAAGTCAAATTGTGGGAGAATTTGGCCTTCAACAAGGATCGTCGAAGTGAAAGAGGATTCAAGAACATGCCTGGTCGAATAATGGGTGCTGAGCAAGATAAGTGGGGACACCAGAGGAAGAGCTAATACGCTCGAGAAACTGGGAAAATGTTATCAGCTCTTGCTTCCACTCCTGGCATAAATAGTTCTTCCCAACCTGCAAAAACATTTGCCAATCCCCCTGTTTTCGTTGCTGGGATATACTACATCTCTGGCTTGCTACAAATACAAGAAAAATATCCATGGTACATGTTGGACATATGGAGCTCCCTTTTTTTTTTTTTCCTTTCCCGTTGGGATAGAAGGACCATATGACCAGTTAGTTTCTATATCAAGCGCATTTCGAACCAAACTTCACAGAAATTTATCAACTTGACCACCCAAGACCACCCATTGTTCAGGTTCAAAATTCATCCTACCATTCCCTCTAGAGGTTCCTCTATATAGCAGCACAGAAACCCTTTAAACCATTTTGAACTTTAAGACTCAAGAATTTAGGAAATTTCCTTTGCAAATGTGTAAGCAGCAACAAAATCAAAACTGTGATACGTTCTAACTTGTGAGGGAAGAAAGAAAGAAGGGGTAATGACCTCAACTGGAACCGTCCTATCGCCGGCCACCCTTCTCAGATAATCAACATCGTTCCACTTTCTGCTGGCGGGCCAGTGAGCCATACCATCGCTGATGATAACCGGCGATCCAGCTAAGAAATGATCCCGGAGAAACCCTTCCAGCGACAGACCCGATCTCTTCGCCACAAGCTTGCCAGTCAATGATTTCACAGGCAAAACACGAAGCACCTGGGAAAAAAATTCAACAGTCAGAACTGAAAAAAAACCGCTGACTTTAACCATTTCTTCTCATTTTCTCTCTCAGGCAAACAATCGAACAGTTGGAGAACAAACCTCACCTCCGCCTTACTAAACTCCCCATCCTCAACCAATCTCCACTTCCCTCCCTCCCTTTCCCCGCCACCTCCCCTAGATTTCGCCGAGATGATCTGGATGGCGGAATCCAAGTCGCCACGGAGAAGCATTCCGCCCATGATCAGCCCCATGTCCAAAACCCTAAGCGCTTCCTTGTACTCGCCGTCCCGGCAGTGGAACCTGGCCACGAGGAGGCAGGCCATGGAGTAGGCGTCCCGCCAGACGGGGAGCACGGAGTGCCAGGGGCCCGAGTGGAGCTGCTCCCACGCCATCTCGTGGGCGGCCTCCGCCGCCCGGGAGTCGCCGGTGGCGGCCAGCGTGGCCATCCTGACGTAGGCGTACCCGCCGTGGGAGGAGACGGACTGGAGGATGCCGGATGACTCGGCATCCAGCGTCGGCGTGGCGAATTGGTCGTCGGTGACGGCGGTGGAGGAAGACATGGGGCGGCGGTGGGCGGCGGAGATCTAGTTGCCGGATATTTTGGCGATGATTGGGAATGGACGGAGACTTCGCTTGCGCGCTGTGGGGGGGCTTTTGTCCTAATTGGATTTGATTATATAAAAAGGGACGGGAGACTGAAATATCTGCCACGTCAGCAATGATATTTCTCGCTTTTTGAGATATTTTATCTTCGCTTTTGCTTAGTGGGCACCGGAGTTTATGGTACACGTCACTCTTTTGAATGGGATGGTATTGGTACACTTCATTTTGATATAGATTGATTATGAGTTTAATAAGGTGTAATGCTTCGTTAAGTCTTTAGGTAAATAGCTAGGTGTTTATAATGTTTAGACGGCTCCTAGACAAAGTTAGACATGATTAAATGGTACGAGACGTGATTAATTGAGATGAGGTGTACTTAAGTGTGTTGGTATTCGGTAGAAAAAAAGTAGCAAATCTTCTCAAGATGTCATCTCCAGTTGATCTATATCCAACACCTTCACTCCTCCCTCGATTTGGAATTACAGGTCTTGGCCAATGAGACAAAGACTCAAAACTTCAGAATTGCAATGGTTTTTCCTTTTCGATCAATCCATTTTCCTTCTGTCCCACTTTTCGGCGTTGCAATTGTAGAGCAGCCACAATTTACACAAATTTTATAGTTCTTCTCCAGCTCCATTCGAATCGACCTCTGCCCTGCTTTTCGACTGCAGATCAACCACAACACACGACTTCTTTAGTTATTATCCAACTCTTGGTAGACCTGCCTCTGCCCTGTAATTCACCATATTTGACTATGGAGTAGCCACAATCCATGTATTTAATAAACCTGTGACGGTAGGAAATGAAGCTATATTTTGCTTGTTGTTGAGTGCTAGCTACGATTATTAATCATTTAAAATTGGATTAAAGTAAAAAAAAGTGTTATTTTTACTAAAAATTCCTACGTCCACTTAAATTTGGAACTCAATGAGTGTACTCTTGTCGCCAAGAATCGTAAACAACAACCATGAAAGGCTTTCCTCGACAAGCTTAGATGGTTTCCATTACTTGTTTCTTGGAGACGTAGCCAACACTTTGAACGTAAAGATCAAAGATATAAACAACCAAAGGCACAACAAAATCCGGCTGCAAAGAATCAACATGCGGAAGCAATCGAAGCTAAAGAACCATGGAGATTTTCGGAGGACACTCTTTTTGAATCCTTGTGTTGTTTTCTAGCTGTAGATCAGAGACATAACTACATTCCTTTAGACAAAAATCCTTGTTCTTTTCTAGCTACAATCCCTAGAAATTCCACCTAACAAACAAAATTGTACTCCCTCTGTTTGTCAGTAAAATCCATGGAAAATAGAACTATGGAAAAGCTTCAATGGCGACAAAACTCAAACCCTTTACACAATCAGGCGAAAATCTGAAACCGACCCGAGTTCTTCTTTCAGGGGCTTGGTGGGTAACCGTGATGGTGGAGCGGGTCGGGTCCCGTTGGTACTTCACGGGCAGAGTCCTCCATTACCAAACCAGGCAGCTTCTTCACCTTCTTGCCTCCCAGATCCTGAGATTTCAAAGGGAAAACGTTCCCACCCGATTCAGAACAGAGAAAACCCAGAAAAACCCATGAACGGGAAAGTGAATCACTGAAAGGAATCACCAGAAAGTTTGTTCCTTTTACCTTTCTAGCTCCCCTGGCTATGCTTCCTCTGATTTCTACTGTTTCCCCATCTTGTAAACCTGAAGAAAAGCTTTCCATGGTAAGAACAAAACCCACCAAAAGCTGACAAAGAAAGGAAACGTGAAGAGAGAGAGATAGCTTACGAGCAAGTGAGATTAGAGCCACCATCATCAGAATGGTCATGAAAGTTAGGAACTTGGAGACAGACGCCATTGTAGGAGAAAAAAAAGGGGGTTCTTCTTGGGGAAAGAACGGAGAACAGAGGAATATTCAGGAGCTGATGTGATTTGCTGAGTTAAGAGATATGAACAATGACGATTGACGAGGCTTGACGATCGATTTTCACACAAAGTGGAGGGGGGTAATAAGGTAAAAGAATGGGGCTCTGATTTCTGAGACCTGGGATTCCTGCTTCTGTAGACATTTCTATCCTCGGTGAAAAAATGGATTCATAACGATGAGCCAAGGGCAGGATTGGCCAACTTTTTAACAGTTGTCGAGGGGGATTTGAGACAGACATTCTCGTACGGATTTGCCATGTGGCGGCCGGGTGAATGTCTGTGCTACTTGGCAGCTGCATTGCAATGATGGCAGATTGGCAGTGTAGCAACGGTAATTGCAGGGGAGCCATGTGGGATAAAACCAGAATTACAGAACACTGAATTACCAGAACATGAAAGCCTCCAAGTTTCTCACCGGATTAAGAAACAATTCCTTCAAGATGTTTAGTAGGCATATAAGCAGTAAGAAGGCTTAGACATAATTTGATTGGGTGCATTTGGAGGAAAAGACCACTGTATGGAACAAAGAAAGCGATGCAATTTCAAAAGGGGTATCACAACTCACCGGCTATGAGAAAAATACTACCTAAAGTGTCTCGGGAGCGATTTACATCTCCATCTTACATATACATAGTACATTCACTTGCAAATACACCAAAACCAGACTAATTAACCTCAAACAAGACTTTGGTCTGGTTTCTTTTGGCATTGCAGCAGGTCTTATATTCATAGACAATGCAGTAGAGAAAACAACGAGAAAGCTGTAATTGAATCTTCTATCTGCTCCAGAAAGGGAAAGAAGAAAAAGTAATGAAACTATTTAAGCAATGACCATCTATCATCTATCCAGTCAAATCTAACTAACAGAAGCCCTCAATGGTCAAATTAGCATCGAGGACATATCGGGTTAGAAATGTAGGAAAATTCTCTCTTTATTCTTGCAGCACTAGGTGCGTTTAAAGATCAAACATGAATTGCATAACTTACAATTTGAAGATGAAACAGTTCCTTCATGGTCTACAAGGTCACTAGGTCAGTGCTCCCTGCAGATACCGCATGATCATCATCATTGGAAGCACCTATCGAATTAATATGCTGATAACTTCCAACCAAAACTTATGCTCCAAAGCACCCAAGCAGATCCTCATCGATATCCAAGTCAAATGGGCTATTGAAGTCTCCAAATAAAGGCACATTGTTGAATGGAGACCCCAAGTATCTATCTTGTCCGCTTGGAAATATATCCTTGGCAAAATTATGCAGGTCTCCTCCTCCTCCTGGAATCTTGGTTTCGTTCATAGGCAGTCCTCCTGGTACCTGGAATCCATTGTGATCCTGCCTAATATGTGGTGCATCCACCGACAGGGGAGCATGTTCCCCAAAGCCAATTGCCGGAGCATAGAAATCATAACTGCTTCCATGATGAAACAAGTCTGAATTTTGTGCCAATGGATCATAAAGTTGAGCCCTTCCATCTAAGCCAGATGGGATTCCAGACAAGTAGTTGCTGAACTCCGTTGTAGGAAGGTTAGGTTCAACCTCAAGATGGGCATTCGGATCAATTTCTAGGTCAGTTGCAAGCATCTGATGATGACTGTCATGGTCAGTTGCAAGCACTTGATGATGACTTTCATGGTCAGTTGCAAGCATCTGATGATGACTATCATTGTCAGTTGCAAGCATCTGATGAGGACTGCTATGGTCAGTTGCAAGCATCTGATGTTGATCAAGAGGCCGTATATTGGCCTGATTCATGTCAAGCAAACTAGTTGTTCTCTGCTCAACCGCCATAGTCTGAGGATCATCATTCGTCGATGGCTCTTCAACATGTTTCGATTTGTCTCGGGTCCTTTTCCTCTTCCTTGGTTTTTCTGTTTGATCCTTCACCTTAACTGGCTCAGGAAACTCCGTTCTTGGACTACTCACTGGCTCGACATCCATACCCTGATGATTCCTCCTGCTATCTCTAGACGACACAGAACCAACACCATCATCAACACCTTCGACATCGTAATCACTATCACTACTTACCGCAGCTTTCTTCTTCCCAGTTCGACCACCCGGGGGAACCTCAGTTATTCCGGAACCAATATCACTACTGGGCTGCCGAACCAGGGCTTCCTCCCGACTCAATACTCCCAACCAAATGGCACTCTCCTTAGCCGTCATCTTATCCTGCAAGCACTTTGACTGGCGGACATGCCTCCTTATCTTAGCAATGTCCGGCGACATGTGCTTGATGACAGAAGTAAGCACCCCAACTTTCCACATCTTCTTGAGATCGTGCGGCTTCTTATAAGGAGGACTCTGCCCTCTGGGCAGCCCTAATTTCCCCCACCAATCTTCATTCCCACTGGGCCACCATGGTGGTGGAACTCCCTTCTCCAACGGGTACTTCCTCTGAGGTGGATCACAGTGTTGCATTAGAGACGACAAAAGAGACCCCAACGTCGCATCCTGGAGATCTTGGAGGACAGCTTGGGAGTTCCCATGTCGAGCATTGTCACCCGCCTCGTTCATCATCGCCAGACACTCTGCCTCGTGTTTGGCAATTGCTGCAGGCCCATTCTTATCAAACTTAACCTTTTCTTTCCACCAAGCTCGGATGTTGTCCGATGCTCCACTCACAGGTTTGCCCTTGTCGGGGATTATACCATACACAAATCCCCGTGCTTGGCAGACTTCCATGAGCTTCAACATGTACTTGAGGATTCCGTCTTGCGCTCGAGACATTTTCTTTCTTCGAGCTTGGTCGGATGATTGTTTGGGCTGCTTCTGCTGCTTCTCTAAGGCTTGCTGTGCTGATATCCTCTGCTTCTCTTTGATCCTCCTGAGCTTGACTCGATCCTTCCACATCCGTTTCTCGAGCTCTTCAGGGTCGATTTCCTCATCGCTGACATCTTTCTCCGCAATGTTGTCACACTTCAGGTCGTCAGCATCAATGTCCGAGCTGCCAATTCTATCAATCAGTCGTCCGCAAACCAAACCGAACAGCAGCAACTCATGAAGGCAAAATCTTAACTACAAGCACAAGATCTCCGACAAGCAACAATCCCACTCCCAAACCACAACACAATCTTATCACCCAATCAATTTCTGAGTTCATCACCTAGGCAACAAAACAGCTTAATCTACCTCTCAAATGAAACCTAAGTGTTCCCGACATCGAATTCATCAGAACAAAACTCCAAACTAAACAACATATGCTCAACCCAGTATCAATCATCATAAAGATTCGAACTTTTCAACACATACGCATGCATGAGACAACAAGTTCTAACCCCAATTGAAATTCCAACGGATGAAGAACAACTTACCATATATCAGCGGCAATCTCCTCCAATTCACCCATCTAGCAGGCAAAGTTCTGAACTTTTTGAGGGCGATTCAAAGCAGAAGAACCCTAAAAAATTCACAAAGTGGGTTTCTTTTCCCCCTTGATTCTTCTCTGGTTTTTGTTTGTTATCTAATGGAATCTCGATTCCCCAATTGCCTGCGTCGTTTTGGATTGGGAAGGGGCAGAGAAGGGACGAAAATGGTCAGATGAGGTCATTAGAAGAAAGATGGGGAAATTTTTGGTGACTGTGAATGGAATCCATTAATAGACCCTTTTCTTTTCTTTTTCTGCTAAATTCAATGTATACGAAAAGGGGAAAGGTAACTTGGCATCCGCATCACCTTTTCTGTTCTAGAGAGAGAAAGACTAGGAGAGAGAGGAGCACAAAGGCGACAGGCGAGTCCAAGGAAGGCGCGCGAGAAGAGACCAAATTGGATAAAACAACGGCAAAGGATTTATTTTATCAGTTTTTTTTTTTGCGAAAATCATATTTAAGTTATATTTAATTTTTTATTTTTTATAAGCAAAATAACAAAGAAAATATTTTGTTTATGGTTTTTTCCATATATTTTATTTTAATTACAAGATAATAATTTCATAATAAGGAAGCATAATAAAATTTATCCCAAGATAGTATTTGTTGGCGAAATGGTTTTATGTTTGTTTGAAGGAGGTTGATACGTGCTATTTTAAAATGGTTTTATGTTTGTTTGAAGTGGTTACTGAATTATTTTGTGATACGTAGGAATTCAGTCTTATGTTAATGCAAGAAGTAACGTTGATATAGACAACTATTAAGCATAGTGCAAAAAATTAACGGAGATATTGAATCGATCAATACATGTGAAGGATTCTATATGTTGTCAAATTTAGAAACACTAACTTATCGGGGAACAATACCGAATTTCTATACACACGAGTATTTTTATGTAGAAACTCGAAATAGATTTTACGTGTTGGGCTATTGCTACAACGGTTTCATGTATGTCTGGAGCATTTGTAAGATTTTGTGCTAGTACACAAAAATCTATTAGTACTCACAATACAAATATATAAATCTAATTTACATACATATGGTGATATAAGCAACAAGTCAGTATTGCAAATAATCGATAGAAATGAAGACGGTGAATCGATCAAAACAAAAAAAATTATACACGAGAAAATCTATAAAATACGCATTATGTATAGATTATACTACCTTAAAATTAAAAGGAAAAAAAGTTAATTATAAGATAATTCTTGGCTAAAATTTGCTATCTATATATGTTTTAAACATTTTTGGCATAAAATGAATCATATATCTAATTTATATCACATAACTTGGATAAAATTGTTATTTAAATAAGACAAAACATTAAAACTCCTACAAAAACGCCGGTCTATCCAAATTAAGAATGAAAGATAAGACAACAAAATCCATGGGGTCTATGTATAGTATGTACCGTCACAAAAAAATAAAAAAATAAAATATTTATTTCCCATTTTGTATAATGACAAATTCAAATTTTCTTTCTATTAGAAATTAATTTCAAAATGGCAAATATATCCCTCAATAAATTTTTGTTGTTGGAACTCTAAGTAGGTTTTACGTATTATCGTAATAACCATAACGGTTTTATATTTGTTTGAAGTAGTTGTTGTAATTTTTGTTTGTATTGGATTTGGTCTTGTATTAATGCGAGAAGTAATCCCGATATAGATAACAATCAAGTATTGAAGAAACGATTAACAAAGGTACCGAATCGATCGAGATATACGGAGAATTCTATATGCAGAAAGATTTATAAACTGCATATTACATCCCGTAAGGTTATAAAAAAAAGTAAACAACCAAATTTTATGCGCGGGAATTAATTTATATTCATACATCCGTTGAGGCACGCGCGAAAGGTTTTGCGTGTTGAATTATTGTTATCAACGGTCACATATATTCGGTTGTAGCATCTGTCAAATTTCGCGTCATCATCAGTACGGACAAAATCGCACGACCGTAATATAAATATAATGTAATAACAATTCAATAATAATCAAACTATAATACGCGCATAATGTGACACATGCGCCGCAATTTAAGCATCACAAACAACAATCAATCGCGCTTTTAAAAATACCGATAATCGATCAAGAAACACGAAGAAATTTTATACACACACCTAGAGAAAGAAGATCAATCTATACACACCACATTCTATATACCAACTTAATAAAAGGTAACTAAATTTCACAACAAGTCAAAAAATTAAAACTTCTCCATCCCAATTTTTTCAAAAATGAAAATGCCAGCTCATTCCTTCTCCACGTACCATAATTCTCCCTATATATACTAAAGGAAAAGCTCGACACATCGCCACACAAACACAAACATACACAGCAATAATTCACATAACAATACTCTTGTCTTCCTCTCCAATGGCGGCGTCTTCTTCCTCTCCAATGGCGGCGGCGGCGGGCAACAACGACATGATCCGCCTCAACGTGGTGGTGATGGTGACCCGGACCCTGCCCGAAAACGGCTGCGAGGACACCATGATGAATTACCGCGTCTTCACCCTCCCCCACGCGCCGCTGCTCAGGGCGGACACCGCCGCCCCGTTGCTGCGCGACGTCGTGGGGTTCTTCTCCGTCCCGATGGACCCCGCCATCGTCGAAAAGGTCGTCGAATCGGCCTGCCACCTCCTCCTCCCTCCTCCTCTCGCTGATGGCGAGGCGGCGGCGGCCGACATTGATGGTGCACCGCCGCTGACCACGGTTGAGATCACGGTGGACCACGGGGTCGTGTCCGTGGTTGGAGATTTCGATGAGGTGAGCGACGAGGAGGACGATAGCGATTGGGACGACGACGAGGAGGACGAGGATGGTGGTGATGGTGGTGAGGGGGAAGGGGAGGGAATGGAGGTGCAGGTGGAGGTGAAGGTGGAGGAGGCCATGAAGGTGGAGAAGAAGATGGAGTAGATTGATCATTGAGTTTGTTAGTTTTATGTTTTGATATTGAGTCGTTGTTATGTCAGATTGTTTTCGTGTTGTTATGTTATGTCTTTGGGTCGTGTGCATGTTTTGTTTTGTGTGGTTTAATGATTCGGTATTATGGAGTTTGTTAGTTTTATGTTTTGATGTTGAGTCGTTGTTATGTCGATTGTTTTCGTGTTGTGAGTGAGCAATCAATCAATAATAATAATAATAGTGGTCTGTGTTTTGGTTTGCTCGTCTTTCGAGTGCATGTTCAGCACTTTTTTCATTAGTTATCGTCTTTTTCTATTATCGATCTCTTTTACCTTTAAAAAATCACAATATTCAATTATATTATTATGGATACAAAAGTGAATGGATTTGTAAAGTATCACTTATGGTTAACTTGTGTTTTCAAATCACTTTATGAAGGTTGAGAAGTACTCCATGTATTCACAAGGGAGGACCTAATTGAGGGGGAGATGTGTGATGCGTCAATTGCCATACCTCCATTCAAAAATTTTATGAAAAATAAATTTTACACTACTACAATAAATTCCAAAACCAGAATCTCTAACGTGCCTTTAAAATTTTTAATTGACGCATCTGCTACAGCAACAATCTATGAAATTACTCAAGAGCAATGTTCAAAATCGGATTAACTAATCACCAATTTATCAATAATTGTTTGATTGTACACATTGAAAAAATTTGAGTTAAGAAAAGCTATTATGTATTTATAAAACCTTTCATGATATAAGAAGTCATTTCGTATCATTGTGAAAAAAACAATGAAATTGTATACTCTATTGACTAGATTTTAATTTTATTAATTTATTATTTATTTAATGTATTTCTATGGATATGTTTATTAGTCAAAATGTACAAAATTATTTGTACTCTTACTTTATATCAATGTATAAGTCATATGCAATAAAATAAGGGGTCGTTTGGATTGAGTATTTGTAGGGATGGCAAAAATATCCGTAATCGTGGATATCTGCCCGAATCCGGCCTAATCGGGTAGGATAAAACCGGAACCCGAAAGACATTTAGTGGGTACGGGTCAAACCCGAACCCGAATATTGTGGTTAATGGGTGGGCATGGATTTCTCACTATCCAATCCGAACCCGACCGATTATACAAATGCATATGTATTATCTCTAGATATAATCATTATTTTTCTCTAACATATTTTATATTTAGCATATAAGTATAATATTTTCATGAAATTGTTTTATTTTAATAAATTTTCTTCATTCTAGTGAATTATTGTCGTACTTTTCCTCTTACGTAATGTGAGAATTCGTGTGAATGTTAATGCGGCCAAGATTCGTAATGCGTCCTCTTTTCAATGTTGTGGTAAGTTGAAACATGTTGGTGTTGAGCTTTTCGTTGTTAACTATAAGTGACTTGTGTATATGTGATCGGATCGGCAAATACTAAAATTCTGGAAGTGACGGTGGTTTGTTGGCAAGCGAATGCCAACTCTCAGCGATTTAGGTGATGGATTTGACACCCAACTTTCAAGTATCATGAACTTGATACAAATTTATTGTTTGTTGAGACTTGAGAGACACAAATCCGTGGGTCTACGGATTTGGACCTCTATTTTTAGATTCAAAACCGTGGACCCCACGGATTTGTAAATGGCACAATTCATTTTGGATTTGATAATGGAATGCAAAAAATGTGAGACAATTTCATCATGAATCCATGATAAATCCACCACAAATTCAGAGTTTTTAAAACTCGAAATCCTCATTTTCAAATCCAATAAGAAAACGAGATGTCTTTATATGAATTGTTTGTACAGGTGCATAATATCTTTGTGTTCATATTATGTGCTCGTAGCAGACTTCCTATATGTCTTTATATGAATTGTTTAGAGCAAGTGCGTAGTCTAGTCTCTAGAATGCACAACCAGGATCGGAGGGAGAGTGGGTCTTGGAATCCATCATTGTTCGGGATGAAATGAGTAAACTAGATATAATAGTTAATTGAAAAAGGATAATTAGCTTTAGTCAGTTTGAGAACGGTAGATCGAGACAGAGGTGTTATATGTTTGAATCTTGATAACTCCATTTGTTAACCAAATGATATTCAGATATGTGCAAATTTCAAACAAAGTTGACTTTCTTTTGAGCAGTCATATTAATAAATGATATAATTGTTTGATCTAGAGATTACCATTTACCAGTAATTCGAGGTATTGATAGTTACCGAGATTACCATTTAAAAACGAGCTACCTACTAACTAAAGACATTTTGTTGGTTACTCTGTTATTCCCAACCTGAAAAAGAGGAACATAAACTCTCCTTACACCGAAGCTGAGACATAAAAATTATCGAATGTAATAAGTAATAACCGGTACTATATCAGCTTGTTCCATTTTGATCCCTTAAAAAAGCTTTAATCTTTCTCATCATCAAAGCTTG